GGATCTTCTTCTTCTACATTGCGGGCTAACCATGAGTTATGGTGGGAATGTGTTTAGGTGGTTACACTCCGTGGGCAATGTCAAAAATTGTGAGAGAGTTGATGTTTAGCTGGAGGACCGGAAGCAGAAGGAAAGGGCTAGGAATGTGGTTCCACTTGCGTTAATGTGAAATGTTTGCAGAGAGAAATAGTAGAGGTTTTGAAGGAGTAGAGTCTAGTTTCTCCCAGTTGAGGAGCAGTCTCCGTTCCCTTGTATTTTTTTGGTGCTCACATAAAGTTCCTTGTTGTATAGATGATTGGGTGGAGTTTGTAGAGCATAGTATCATTTTGTAGATTCTTTACCTTTTGTTTTACCCCTTGTATATGGCATTTTGGCCATGTATATAATTGAAAATATATTTACCCGATGAAAAAAACAGTTCTCTGTATCCTCAAAGCATCTTAAATTTCTTTCCTTCCAAATTCAGGGGCCATCCTCCATCTACTCGTGTTCTTTGCCATTAATCCTGCTTCCTCCCAACTCTATAGAGCTTCTGTAATCTTCCCGGGCATAATCCAGGATATGCTTTTAAAATTAATGAAAATTCCCCATTCTGTCACCTAGCAATGTAGGAATAGATGGTTAACTGACTATCTCTGCCTTAACTCCACATAGAAAGCATAAGGAGCACATTGTGATCTTTCTTCTCATTAAATTGTCCTGTGTGAGGACAACTTCCTTTGCCAAAAGCCACTCTAAACAAGCTACTTTGTGTGGAATATTAGTTCTCCAAATATGCTTCCAACGCAAATTATCAATCTGCTGATTAGACTGGTTCATCAGTCGATAGGCTGCATTCACCATAAAGCACCACTGTTATTACCTTGCCGCCTTAATACATCTTTCCCTGCCTGGAACCCACTTAATACATCCTTTCACCTAGCTTAAAGGTTTAAGCATGCCTCAAGAAAGCCTTTAGCAAAACATGGTATGGTGTGCTGGCGGTTCTTCTCCGTCGTCATATCAACTGATTGTCCTAGGTAGGAACTCTGTATCAAGACAGACAGGCTGGTGAAAATCTCATTCTTAAAATCATCTCTACTTGCCCACTCACACGACTTAAAGTCTCCACTTCACACCTACCAGGTTTCTATCTTGGGTGGTTGTACTTGTCAGCAGTCACATCTCAATCTATGTAGGTGCTACATACGCAGGTCAACCAGCCTACCCACATTGACCAGTTCAGCTGGTAGTCCTTGTTAGCAAAGTCATTGCTCATGTCCCCCTCCACCCCCAACAACATAACGAGATCACTGAATAGGGAATAGGGAACTACTTTTTTTGTTGAGTTATAATAGTTTTATTGATGATGGAAAGAGAACTCTATACAAGTGGTAAATTCCGGTGATTTATTTACCTTTTCTATCTTTTGTTAATGACTAACTAAGAGATCATAATTTTTTCACAAAATGGAATAATAATAATAATAATAATAATAATAAATGAAACTTAGATATCCTTTCTATTGGTAGTTGGCCTAGGAGTTCATTGACTTCACTCCAAGTTATTTTTGTCAGTTTTGGTGCATTTACATAACTCTTTGTCCTCTTGCACTATTTCTGTTGAGTTGCTATTGATGTCCTTGTGTTGGTTCTTCTCCTTTGTAGTCTTCATTGGAGCCTGGTTATAATTTGCATACCAGATAAAGAAGATCAACTGGGGCCAATTTTACTTCACTTGGATTCATTAGGGCTTCACTGCAGCAAGTCCCTTTTTGCTACCATAAGAAAGTAAGCTGAACTCTGTCGTTGGCTGTTAAATAACGTGACATCCATGCTACAGAATTTATTTCTTGTAAATTGTAGTTTTGATTCAGAGTTGTTACAATTATTGACTGCAGCTACATCTTGTTTCTGATTTGCCATAACTTCACCGTTGTCATGATAATAATGCATATGCCAGAACCCCTTGCCAGCGGGGTGGTCCAGTGGTTTGGGCTTGGGACTTCCATGCTGGAGGTTTCAAGTTTGAAACCCCTTGCCAGCCTAAGCAATCGGTTTGCCTTCTGGGTCGGTGCGTGCCTAGTGCGGGTTACCTCTCTTGTGTGGTTTGCAAGCTACTGCATAGGAGCGGGGTTTTTACCCTGTGTGCACCCAAAGGGTAGCGGCTGCGGGCTTCCCTTGTCATAAAAAAAAATTGTATATGCCAGAACCATTTTGACATTATTTCTGAACGTAGGGATTGTATAAGCTATAACTTGACCATTCAAAATTTCTTGTGCTATATTGTTCTTGTTTATGATATGCTACAATATAGAAATGATAACTAATTACAGCATGAATTGTAACAGCTTGAGAACTAAAGGGGCAGAAATTAGAGTTCTGTTATCATACTTGTGCTGGACAGAAATGGGAACTTTATCAGGCTGATCAATTTGCATGGTAAAATTAGTGACACTTGGGAGGTTAGGAGGGAAAGACCCCAATACCAAATGGGAATTCTTGCATGGCTATATCCGTGCTAATTCATTTCCATTCAATATGCCTAAGGGAGAAAATAGTTTGCTGTTGAGATCTGGAATGCCTCAACAGAAAAGTCAATATTGCTTACTACTTTGTCTTGTTGAATGAGAAATTGACAGGGTTAAGAATTCTGGTCTCTTTCAGGTTTTCGTACTTAAGTTATATATTTATTGTTTGGATGTTTCGATTGCGGCTTTTTGGCCATTTTACAGTATTGTAGCTTCATAATCTGAATATTACAATCTTGAGGCTTAGTCTATTATAACCAATTTTCTCTTCAAACTTGCGGTAAGATAACATTTTGAACTGTAAGCTTCTTAAACCTGGAGACTTTTCCTGCAGATTTTTGGTAGAAGAATGGAAATTCTTAAGACAAGGAGAAGTGCCAGCTCTTCCTATTTCAGACAAAATATGGGAAAATCTTCCACGAAGAATTGATGAAAACATCATTCAGGTATTCTTTCATTTGCAACTTATGGCATGAAGCAGTCTTTGGAATTCTTTTCATACCAGAAGCTATCTTGTCCATTCAAATACCTTGTGATACAGGGAGTTTGGTTTGGCTGATATAGGATGTGAGCTTTTGTTTTGGGAATTTGCTTGGAAAAATTACTTAAATACACAACTTATTTTACTATATTCTCTAAAATTTCCTACCATTTGACAAAATTACAAAAATTCCTACTCTCTCCTATTCTTGGATACATCACTTTATGTGATCTATCAGTCAGATACATCACTTTACGCGATATATCGGGACGTATGAGATGTATCAGGATGTTGAGTGATGTATCCGAAATCGAGATGCGATGTATCGGGACGTTGAGTGATGTATCCGAAATCGAGATGCGATGTATCGGGACGTTGAGTGATGTATCCGAAATCGAGATGCGATGTATCGGGACGTTGAGAGATGTATCTGAAACTGAAACGCGATGTATCGGGACGGTTTGGGATGTATCCGGATTCCACCAAATTTAAGGGATTTTTGTAATTTGAAGTCGGATACATCACTTTATCCAAAACCGAGATGCAACATATCGGATAGTTGAGAGATGTATCCGAAATCGGGACGTTTTGGGATGTATCCGGATTCCACCAAATTGAAGGGATTTTTGTAATTTGAAAAAGTAGGGATAGGATGTAACTAACTCTTTAACACTTGGGATTTGTGTAAAATTCTCAATTTGTTTTCTCATAAGCTGGGGCATGCTTGGAGTTTGTAGATAGTTTCATCTGAAGTGTGTGACCATCTCATCTTTTTTAATATGGGCAGTGGTGGGATTCTATCTCAGGACCTCTGTATGCTCTAATACCATGATGAAGTGTGCAACAATTTCATCTAAAAGCTTAAAGCTATTAGAGAGAGCACACTTATAACATTTAATTGTATTCTCAACAGTTTCTTTTCAGCTATATTGATGTATATACCATTTGCTGATTGTGTGGAAAGAAGTGGTTTCTCTAGTAGTGGAAAACATCAATTGGTGTTGCTTAGTTTGATGATCATCTGTTTTATGGGCTTAGGCTGTCATAAAGTTCCAAATTTTACCATACTGGCTCTGTTTTTCCTTTTTTTTTTCGTCTCTCTTTTCATGTTTTTTCTTGGTTAAAAGGTTATCCTAATAAAACTTATAATCAACTGGGGGAGGGTGTCTAAAACATTGACTCATTTGTGGATATTCCATTTGAGAAATTTATGAAACCTATAGAAGCAAACTTGTCTACATATATTGTGACTATGTCTGCAAGTTCACGGAAACCACTTTCCTTGAAATTTTCTGGTAACAGGTCCCACAACAAAGAAATGAGTATGACTGCGGTCTGTTTGTTCTTTTCTTTATGGAGCGTTTCATTGACGAAGTTCATAGAAGGCTTAAAAAGAAGGATTTCACCATGGTATAACTTTTGTTTTATTTATTGCTTTCTCCAATTTTTGGTTGTTGAACAATTGCATCAGTCGTCGATTTAAAATGATCCTATTGTCAGTTTGGAAGAAGGTGGTTCAAACCTGAAGAAGCCTCTTGTTTGAGGATGAAAATCCGCAGAATACTCGAGGAAGAATTCAAGAATGCGAGTGAGAATGATTGATATTTTTGGGATTGCTACTGTGTACAGGTAACTACTCTTGCTCAAAGAAATCCACTAGCAGTTTTTCAGCATAGACTAGGAACTGCTAATCACCAAAGGTCATGACATGCCTGCCTTGCATAGCTGTAAAGTTGGATACTGTCGTCAGTCACGCATCAACCATAAACAGGCAGAGGATTTAGTATAACTGATATTGACCCATCCAATGGGAAGAAGAAATACACTAGACTTCCCTGGGAAATATATACATTGTACAGAAACCATAATTGAACAATCACCAAGGGGAAAAAAACAGAAGATTTGGGCGATGCATCGATATTGACCATCTGCTGAAGCGAGTAGCCCCTAAAACCAGAAGCTGCAGCCATGTCCATTTCAAAGATGGAAGGTATCTATGGATCACCAGTTCCCCCCTCCCCCTCTCTCGATTTGTGGCAGTTTTCCTTCTGCTAAAAACAGTTTCACATGTTTGCATTGAAGCGAACAAAATAAGTGAAAGCTCTAGCTTAATGAAGAAACAACTTCTTCACGTCCTTTTGGTTAAGGCAGCAGTTTTTACTGCTGCTTCCCACTTGATAGTTTATCAAATGAGCCAATTCAGTTAGGATCCTATAGAACTTGTCTTTTTCATATTCAAAATTTGTTCTGCGACTATGTTTTCACCTCAAGAATTATTTGCAGAAGAAAAGATGGAGGGGCTCTGTACTTCCCAAACAAGCCTCCTAAACGTTGGTTTATCTGGGATTATGCAAGAAAAGTACTTGAATTTTTTTTATTCGAGGTCAGAGACAGTCTAAAGCCGATATTTGTTCTGCGACTATGTTTTCACCCTATTTGGACTTTTGAGTCCAAAGTAGGGTGTGTTTGGTATGGATGAAAGAAAATGTTTTTTTCAATATTTTCATATTTGGTTGGTCAAAAATATTTTTTCTAGGATCATTGTCCCCTCTCCATTCATCCAACGATTCCAGCCTCCACCCTTTGATCATCCCACCTTCAAACCCTCACTCCCCATCCCATCCCATCCCCTCTCCGTAGTGTTTTGCTAGATTGCATCTACGACTTCTGTTTCAATTTGATTGTCTTGTCTTGTCTTTGCATAAAATTTAAGAACGTAAAGAAGATTTTTGAATCTTGATATGCAAAATGTACCAAAAGAATGATTTCTCAAAAAATAAAATAAAATAAAAGAATTGTCCTAAACCTATCTATACAAGCTTCTATGACCAAAGTTAATCTATTGTACATTTTAATCCTTTCGGTCTAATCACTAATGAAAGCCAAAACAACCCTTTTCTGCAACTTGAGATGTGTCAATGGCTTCCAACATGAGCACCACCTCCTTCATCTCTGGCCTCTCTTTTGGGTCTGCATGCCAACATTGCTTCATTATATTGGCCACAACACTTGGACATTTGTTTGGTATTTCCGGCCTTAGACTCTAAAATTTCAAGAAATATATTAGTGATTGATATATTATTTAACGTTAGCTATAAAGAATATAACATAAAATTTGAAAACATACCTTGTAAATACATGGACTTGTGTGAGAAGAAGGAATTTTTCCATTATATGGAATTGAACAACAATATATCTCCCACAAACAAATTCCAAAACTATAGACATCACATTTATGATCATATGGTAGACCAATAAGTACCTGCATATACAAAATAAGACAATAACATTAATATAAGTAATAGAGAATTCATTTTTTTCCTTTTTGTAAATAAAAAAAGATTCAGAATGAGATATGTCACCTCAGGAGCCATGTAACCGATGGTGCCAATTTGGGCAGTCATGTCAAGAGGACATGAAGCCTCAATTCGAGAAACTCCAAAGTCAATTATTTTGACCCTTCCATCCTTGTCCATAACTAAATTACTAGTCTTTACATCTCTGTGAACAATTTTCTTAGAATGAAGGTAACTCAAACCTCTTGCAACATCTAATGCTAGTTGAATAACAGAATTCAATGGCAACTTTTTGATATGATTTTTTAAGAGGTGTGATCTGAGAGTGCCTCCAGGGACATATTCAACCACGATACCATATTCAAGTGATGGTTGTTTTTCCAATGAACGATATCTCGACCATGGGGTGCGATTGGTCAGCTCATTAATCCATCTTTTCAACCATGGTTTACCACTTGTAGATTCGGGTTTAATAATCAATTGGGGCAATCTTTTTGAAGCTCCGATTAACTGAAGAAAATCAAAAGGGTTTGACACTTGTTAGATGACATGAAAAACATATATATTTAAATGTATGCAATAAGTTAAATCAAGTGAGAAAAAACAAAACGAATAAAAATTAATTACCTTTGCTATGTTTGCGTGATGTAGGTTGTACCATATAGAAACTTCTTGCGTGAAAGCGTTTGTTAGTACATCCCTTCTCTTTTCATTGCTCAAATCAAGTATTTTTACTGAAAATTAATTAAAAATATTATGTCAGAAAGAATTGTAAAAAAAAAAAAGGTGAACATATATATTATTAACTATCGGAAATGTATGAATTTTTGTATATGAACATTACAGACGTGGAAGAATCAAATGGTATATTCTAGGGTTTTTCGTATATAGACTAATATTATTAGGGTTAATTGAAAGATCGTTGACAGTTTAACAATTTCAAATAATATCCTTTTCACTGTAAAAGTTACAAATTTGTCATATTTTTTTCCTTTTTCATTAGTTTGACGGTAAAAATTAAATCTTTGATAACTTTACAAACCTAACCCTAATAATATATATAGTAGTTAAACAGTTAGATTAGTTGAGATTAAAAAAAATAGCCAAAGCAATTATGTATATATATATAGGGTTTAGCAGTATAAGAAAGAAAGAAAAAAGTAGCTACATTATTAATTAGGGTTTAGCGCAGACATTAATTAGAATCAAGTAACTAGCTAATATAAGAAAAAAGATTAATGGTAGAATTAGTGATAATATATACCTGCAACTTGTTGTCCATTATAAACACCTTTGTAAACTGATCCGTATGCCCCTTCAGCAATAAGATTATTGACGTTAACTTTAAGTTTCGTAGGATCCAATTCCCATTCTTGTTTCTTCGTCACTTCCAACTTTTTGGACTCGTCACAACCCTTGCTAAATAGTTTATCTAAATGCCTCTCAAGTTGCTCATCCATTCTTTTCAAATCTGTCTTTGTTATAATTCTTGATTTCGCCATTGAACAATACAAAGAAGAAAACGTTAATGTTCGGTTCAGGGTGTGCTATAGCCTATATTTATAGGTATCAAAATCAAATTTGAAAAGGATAAGGAAAAGGGAAACTTGTGGAAAATAAACTTGGATGTTTTCTAATTATAATAGTATTTGGTTTACACAATTAACGTGGAGATTTTCTAATTAGATTATTTGGTTTACATAATTATATTTAATTTGTGTGTTATCTGTCTATATCTATATCTATATATAATTAAAAGTAAGAAAATCTAACCTAGGATCAATACATGCGTTATTTTTAGGACTATTTAGTTAATTATTATTTAAGTTAGGTGATAATTAATTAAATTTTGGAACTTTTACAACATTTTTTATAAATTTAAATTTTAAAAATTATTTTATTTTTGAAAAACGTTTTTATAGTTATTTTAATTTTCACAGTTTCTGTAAATACAAATTGTGAGAGTTTTGTAATCATAGTAATGATTTTTAATTTGATTTCATTTAAAAATATTATTACTATATTTATTTAAAAGTCAGCCATGAAAAAAAAATCCCTGTCGTGTTTCCGTTAAAAGCCCTAAAACAAAGATTAAAAAAAAAAAACTGTTGTGTTTGCATTTATAAACCTAAAGCAAAGATTTCGTGTATATATATATACTAGACATCGGAGCATGTGCTAGCACGGGCCCAATATGTATCATTTTTTGTTTCAATTTATGTGACAGACAAAATTAAAGAGTTAATCAAACTTTAATATTAATTTAAAATAGTTTAAATTTGTAATTATTGTTAACTATGGTAAAAATTTTTTTATGTCTTTTAGCATTCTAAATTGCTAATTATTGTTGTATGATTTGTAATATCTTTTACGCAATTTTGAAATAATAAAGGTTATTTCTTCTTTCTTAATTTATGTGGTACTAATAAAATTTCGAGATTCAATCAATTTTTTTTGTCTTTAAAATATTCTATTGTTAATTACTGTAAACTATTGTACTTTCTAAGTAATTTTCAAATAATATATATTATTTCATTTGTCCAATTTATGTGTCACCGATAAAATTTGAAGAGTTAAT